TGGGCTCATTGATTACTAAGTGATATATATACATTTGTAATAGCACCTTATACGAGAAAAAAATTAAAGACAAAATTTAAGAAAAAAAAAAAAAACATACTGTAAAACATCTCTGCAATCCTCAAATTTCGCTGATTTATTTTTTCACAATTGGTTTTATAAGGTGATGAGTACTTTTAGGTAAGTACAGTTACACAGTATCGGTAATATTTTTCAACGTATTTTGCAAATAAAGCTGAATAATTAATATGTAACTATGACTAAGTGGCAATAGTTTATTAATAATTCACGTCCTCCATTTTTATAGTTTTACTCTAGTAATTAATGAACAAAATTATTTACATATCATGTTAAAAAGCTGAATACATGCTAAAATTTACATTGATTAAGGTTTTACTTTTTTAAATCAACAAGCTTATTTTTTGAGAAAATCTTTACTCCATTTGCTACAAGAAGTAAACTATTTCTGTTGTACTGGAATGTAATTTTTATCTTCAAGTTTTCAATTCTTTAAAAAAATGAAGATATTTCTTCATTTCTTTTATATTCTTTCCATTTTGGATGGTAACATGAAAGAAAACTCGTAGACAAACTTGTCGTTGAAAAACGTGGAGCTCAACTGAAAAACATTGCCAATAGATGAACGTACAATGGTTTGAAGACTATATACTACAGACCCTATGTTGCTGGTTCCTATATTCCTACCCTATGCTCCTGGCTATTAGCTCTCCTGCATCCTTAATACTGTTTGCTATTATACTTGGGGTTATACTGGAATGTTTGGATTACAGCAAAGCACACGAGGACTTTGCATCTAAGAGTTGACTTCGTGGATGATTTTTTAAGGAAAATTGACTAGTATTTACGTTATACCTGGGAAAAGTCATGAAAACTCTCATGAAAGCAGCCTATTGGCCGGGATTTGAGCTCAGGTCGAACAACTCTATTTTACCACTCAGCCGCTAATGGGTTTTATTTGAATTGAAAACATGATGAATAAAAATGAGAATCTTAACTTTGAACGTCAGTTTTAATAATCATTGCTTGCAATATTTTCCCCTTTAGAGTTGCTTTCTGTAAAAGTTTGTACCTCTTACTTTGTTTGTAATAAAATCGAACTTTTAATTACTTTCATTTTCAAACAAGAAATAGGTTTTTCCTCATGCGCAAATATTATTCTGCGTAAGAGCTCTGTGCGACCTCATTGAGGAAATGCAATAGAAAATTAGAGCCATACATTAGTAAAAAAAGATAATAAACAGCATGTTCATGAAGCAAAGTGCTATGCAAAAGTGGTACTTATTGGTTTTCTCGGCTCACCCGGCGGTTCTTGGCGATAATTTCTAAGCATAAAAATGTTTGGGGAACAAAGATTTCCAGTGTTATTTTAAAAAACATTATCTGTTTATACAACTGTAAATATTTTATTAGTGGTAATTATAGACAATGTGGTAGAGCGCTCAATAATATTTACGAATTGTTGGGAAGAATATTCTACACAGCATTTGGAATCAAGCTGCAAATCACAAATGTAATTATTATCGAAAAGAACGTTTTTCGCTTATCTTTCCCAAAACGAGCTTTACTTTGGTTGTCCTTCCCTAATAACCCCACTTTAGAGGCTTTAAGGCGAAGATATGCGGAATTAATACCACCAGTGGACGAGGGATAAGACCGCTAAGCTTCACTGGACCCTAGCCCCTTTTCAAATTCCTGCGAACGGGCTGATTCTTTCAATGTTTTCTTAGCTATCTGCACGTATTCGCCATATTCAATTAAATAATACAAAACAAAAAGTAAATTTTACAAAGGACCGTCTTATGCTGAAGCATTTCCAATATTCAAATAGTTGAATCTTAGCTAATGTTAAGCAATACGTATCAAACATTTTCCTACAAAAAGTAAGTATGCTAATTTTGCCTGTCGATGACCTTTAAATTTAATGTTCTTACTCTCTAAAAATAGGGTTTTTGTCTATAAAATAAGTAGTATCAATAAAATGTTTTTAAATGTCATTTTATTTCGTTCTTGTTACTAAAATTGTTAATCTAGGAGACATATTTCTTGCATTTAGAAAACCGCAAATTAAGTAAACCGATGACGACTGATATATATATATATATATTCTTTTGCTAGAAAAGTTCCTCCATATTAGCTATAGTTTAAATATTTTCTCAAAACGCTTGTATTTTGAATTTATTAATTTTATTCATCGAACCCAGTTAGGAACAAAATTCGTTAAGCAAATGAAGTGCCTCTAGAATTAAACGCTTTAAATAAATAACCGCGTAACACATAACGTATGACTAATATTCTCCTTCCAGATCTGATGCTGTGTGAAGCAACGTTACGCACTCGAAAATGTGAGCGGAAAATAAAATATGCGTCAGTTTATGGTTATTGTAACAACAAATGTTGCCAGAGGTGAAGGTGATAACTGAAGCTTGAAAGTATTTTCTAACATAAAGGCTGCACCTGTAACTTTTCGGATCCTACGCAAAAAAAGAAAAATTAAACTTCTGCATTAAAAAGAAGCACATAAATGATATTAAGGTTTAATCCTAGTATCCGGTGCATACGGGATTTGGTTACTTTTTGGCGACTTTATGATGAGCAGAAAAAACGGGACATATACGATGAGTAGTAAACAGGTCATTCAAAGAATATATATATTTATATATAGTATATAGTGTATAGTACATAGACGTTCTTTGGATCATTTTTGGTGTTAGCGATAATTTTCAAAATCGCGCCATGGCTGCACCGTATACTAGGATTTCACCGATATTAGTTTTAAATATACAGGTTTTGAAGCTGCATTAAATTTTCATTATTAATTTACAAAATATGTAAGAATGAGAGAATGTAAGAATATATGAGAATAAAAAAATATTTTTTAAGAAATTAAATTTATTTTCTAGTTCCGTTGCTATAAATTAGTTAATAAGACCCTCATAACAAAGGGGCTTTAGAATAATATTTTTTATGGACTGCCTTGTCAGGGAGTTAAGCTGTTATTTCGAAATTAGTAAAGCGTAAATAATTTATACTAGTTCCAGTATGCATTATGAATATTAACCTCAGGCGTTGCTTATTAGTAATGCTAAGAACATTTTTTAAATTATTCTGACTTTAATAAATGGGAATATATATTTTTTTATTTCTATTTCGTTTTTTAGAAACAGAGATCACATTCTCAACTTTATTTATAAAACAGCTCTTTTTTCATTTCCTGTTCATCATTATTTACATTTTTCAAGTCTTTGATAAAATTAGATAAAAATTTTAATTTATTCTATAGCTCATCACTTCTTAGCGAACCAATAGCTATTCTTTCATAAGTTGCTAAAAATTTATAAAAGCTTCACTCCAAAATCCTCATTTGTTTCTAACTGCACATTGCTGTCGTTGTTATTATAATGAAAAGTACATTTTTAAATACATATACATTTAAGTGGAATAATTATTTACAGCTATATTTTCTAATTTGTTGAGGCCTCTATTTTTAACAAGTTGCTTATGATAGCATATGCTACCTTTGTAAGCATTGAATTTCGAGAAGATCTACTGTCAGTATTTATTCTATTGAACTTTTTTTGTCAATTCATATTCATTAAATTTAATCGAACTCATCCGCTTATTAAATATGTAGGAGTTGCTACTCAAACATCTGGCTTTTCGGCTTCTATCTTGTTTGATGTTGTTTTGACATCATAATTTTAAGGTTATTGTATTAATTTCTGCAGATCATTGTATATTTGACGAAGGTTTCATAGTTAAATATTTCTTTGCCATACACTTTTCTAATATACTTTGAATATGTGTGAAATGCGTATATGGGGCAAATTCAATTAGAAAGTCAGCCCACCAGTGGCCCAAGTCGCTGAAAATTGGTAGTTCGTTCGGAGGTTCAAATTCCGCGAACGGGCTCTGGTGGCATAAGCGTTTTCGTGGTTTTCTCATGTGTCACGTGTATGCCAGTCAGTTTCCCTTAGAAAGTCCTCCACGAAAGCATCCCCATCGACCAAACCAAATTTTTAGATAGTCGTCCACGAAGTCAACCCTCTCCTTAGGCAGATAGCCCTCGAGTTCGTTGCTATAATTAAGTAAACCCTAACTAAACCGAACCTTGGGTAGGGGAGAAATTAAAAGGTCTTGAGCTTTATTTAAATTTTAAAAAAAGGTTAATTCTACAAAACATTTTATTACCGTATTCACAATTAAGTTTAACGAATGACTTAACGCAAGGAGCTAATTCACAGAAGCGTTGTGCTATTTTAATAAGATTTTAAAATCATAGCAACAGGATACATTTACATTACTCTGTTCTTGGCAGTTTCCAATACTGTATTCATTTCTTGAAAATGTCATATAAACTAATGTTCTAAAGTTTTTGTTATTATGGATGTAATCGGAGCAAGAAATTCTTAATTTATTTTACCATGCAAAGCATATAAAACTGTTGTAAAGATTTACACATGAGTTATGTTAGATATAGAGATGTTACTGTTATTTCATATAAGGCCCTTTTCCTTTGCTTTTATGACAAAATCTTCCTTTCAAAAATTGTTTGATTCGTACAAAAGTGAATGCTGGCAGTTGAATTATTAGAATACACTTATATATGTGAGTGCAAATTCAGAAGAGGAGAGGAGATGCAGTTTAGCTAAAGATAACAGGTAAATTCAATTTGCCCATGATACAAAATATTTCACGAAAACGATACATATTTATTCAAAGTAAAATCAGTACTGTGGGTATGTTATGTACTTAGTGCATCGAAAAAGGTAGTCCAGACGATAAACTAATAACAAGAAATGCTTAAAACTGACAATTATTGAAACTGGTAATTTTTAGTTATGGATTTAGAACTTACTTATTTTAGCATTTATATTACTGACTTCAGTTTAAAAAAATTACAGCCAATGTAGTCAGAAATTTCACTTTCTTTGCAACACTTTAAAGCGTTAAATTTTTTGAAAACACAAACGTTGGCTTACCTGTCAATCCAAAACAACTCTGGGGAGATGTCAGTGATGGTAAGTTTATAATATCCAATAAGATGAACACAATAGTCTTCCCAACGCAAAGTTGCAAATGTAACACCAAATCAAGTACGATTATATTTCTTTGGCTATGACTAAGGCTTTTCTAGATAAATATTTAACGGTATAGCAGATGCATTTCTTTTCCTTTTAAACTTAATGTTATGTCACAAATATGCACCCTTGCGTTTACTAAGTATCTTTTAGAGTGTATAAGGTTATTTTAATATGGTCTTTACAGGGTAAAAATTGGCTAGATTCACAGATTCACTCTTGGATGAGATTCAAAGATACAATGCATATTAAGAAGGGAAATCTGTAAAACATCGTTGGTACCCAGATTTCTGCAATAATACGCCTAAACAACGGTAAACTTTTATCAGACAGAAAACATTATCACATTCTGAAATCACAACACCGATGTAGAACACTTCGTTATCATCACCTATTTTGATTGACAAGCTTCGTCTAGCACGCCGCCGATGTAAACAAAACAGGTGCACGCCGAAAAAGCCACCCGCAAGCCGCCAAATTCGTGTCGGTCGTTCTCGAATGTGGCGGGCGTTCGTTTTGCGCCGATCATCCTTCACGTGGATGAAACTACGCTTTAACTCCCGACGACAGGGGGCGCTGAGCGTAGCAACACTTCTTCCTGTCCTAAAGCGAGGAAAAAAGATGTTTCCGCCGCTTTTTAAAACAAAATTCTCAACTGGAGCAAGAAAAATGTTCCTGTTGGATGAAACTGTGATCAGTTCATTTGCACTCTCTTCCATCAGAGTTTTCTCCAATGACGTCATTTTATCAAATCGACGTTAAGAATTGGTTCTTCAGCCATTTGGATACTCAAAGGCAATCGAGATTTACCAAATTACTCAAATCTATACCCTACAGAGAGATCTGAAAATTCTCATTTATCTGCTTATTTACCTCCATGTAACATGAAGCCAATGCTAGTCATTTATATTTTAATAATTATGCATAGGATAACTGCAGCATTTAAAATATAACTTTTTCAGCCTGATTTAAGAAACAATTTTATCATTGTTTGACCTCCTGAGTACATTCCGTTACCTAAGTCAATATAGGGGCTAATTGACGTTGGCTATCAAGTTGACGTTGGACTCACTTTGAAACAGAAAATTTTTATCTGCAGTGTCTCATGAATTAGAGACATTTCAAAATCTAGCCATGCAAATTCCTTCTAGACACTAGAAGACACTAGACACTAGACTTCCTCGGTAAAAAAGAGAGAATACCAACCATTCAGATTTCATTCCCAACTGATCAAAAATGCGTTGGAGCTAGACAGACAACAAATTTTCCCTTTGTGCATTAAAAATTCCAGCATAGAGTAGACCCGTGTTTTTTTTTTTTTTTTTTTTTTTTTTTTTTTTTTATGTTATCAACGCTAACTGCAAGCAGACAGTTTCTGAATCCTTCATACGGCAACAGTTAAAATAATCTTTGATTAAACGGCACATTTTTTAAAAAGTGTTTGCAAAATATTTTCTCTTAAGCTTAGGAGGCCCACCAGCGGCCGAGCGGTAAAGTCGCTGAACACTGGTAGTTCGGTCCGAGGTTCGAATCCCGCGAACGGGCTGGCTGCATGGGCGTTTTCGTGGTTTTTCCCATGTGTAACGTGTATGCGAGCCAGTTTCCCTTAGAAAGTCCTCCACGAAGGCATCCCTCCCCTTAGGCAGATAGCCCTAGTGTGCTTTGACATAATTAAATACACCATACCACACCTTAAGCTTAGGTTTCGCTTTAGGAAAATCAAATAATCTGAGGGTATGGAATTAGGTGAAAGAGTATGATTAAGAACCAGTGCACCTTTTTTTGCAGTAGTTTGAATATAGATGTATTTTATGAACAAGCATTATCATACCGCCACCACCCCCCCGAAAAAAATAATTAGCCCTTCCAGTCCTAACGTACGGAATTTTTTCAAAAGTTTTGTGTCCTTTATTTTTTCACAGAACAATGAAGTTGTTATTTATCCTTCAGATGAGCATTTTCTATATCGGCTGGAGCAACCATTTCCAAGTTCATCTTCCTTACCTTCAGGCTTATTAAGGAAGCTTTCGTGCCAAATAAATGCATTACATAGTACTAATGTTTAATATCCGAAATATGCATCCATCATGCAAAATATCTTCGTTGTGGCTTAAATTATTTTTAGTGCGAAGACTGACAACTTTCTTTTCTTCAGCCTTTGAATCCATAACAGGCACAATTATATATTAGACGGGACACCAGAAACTCAACATTGTAAGGCAGGGTAAACTAGCTGTTAAGCTCCACCAAAATCTTGATAGAGAAAATCCCGGTGAACTGTCTGAGAGCCTCTCATCCCTCTTCCTCTACCATCAAGCCACACAAGAGGGCTTTGTACCTTGAGTGCTTCACAAACTCTATACAATTACAAACCTCCTCGCCTTCTCCGGGATTCGAACGTGAGTCAAACGATACAGCAACCAGGAGCACTAACCAGGGGGGCTTGAATCCATAATAGCAAATCTTGTTGCAACGAATAAAGGTGAAACTTCTTGATTGGGACGAATAGCTCCCAAATGATATTGAAACAAAATTTAAGAAGTGGCAAGCGGAAATAATTCATTTACAAGGAATACTGATTGATAAAAAATAATTTCAAAATGTTGATAAGTTAAAATGTGACATTTCTTTATATATATTCTGTGATACAAGTAATAATACATATGCAAGTGTAGCCTATTTCATATTTATAAATAGTTTGTTAAAATCAAAGCAAGTTTAACACTTTATCGAAAACTAGAGTAGCTCCTCTTCAAAGTTTAACATTTCCCCGATTAGAATCCATGACAACAATTACGGTAATTGGAACTGCAAAATATCTAACTAAATTATTTAATCATATTTATCAACAGATATAATATACGGATAGACGGATTCGCATATGGTGTTATACTGGATCAAAGGATCTTCTAAGAAACAGAAGTCCTTTATCTCTAACAGGATTACAGAAATTCAAGCTTTGATGAACCCGCATGATTGGAAACATTGTTCCGGTAACGGAAATTCCGCAGATCAGAGGTTTAAGCGTAAACTCTCTAAATATTTGCTTATTTGAGTAGTTTGGGCCAGAATAGTCACAAAACCAGTGCCCAAATTGACCGTTTCTACAGAAATGTCACGTAGGGAACGATGAACAACTAGAATGTACATGACATTGTTACGAAAAGTGACGAACACTTATAAGAAAATTCAATAGCGTTTTGTTATTTCTCAGAATTGTAGCATGGATCAAGCTTTTCTTTGCAAGAGCACCAAAATTACAGACTGATAGTGGCCTAATAAGTGATTTTGAAATTGAAGTCGCTGAAGTATTTTCTGTTCGCAAAACTCAAATGGATTTCTTCACATCTGAAATTAGGACACTTCAATCTGGCAAGTTAGTTTCTTCAAGTCCAGTACATTCAACTTGGCAACTTTTCTTGATGAAAACCAAATTATTCGAATTAAAGAAAAACTAGAAGAAGCCGAATATATGATTGGGAAAAAACATCCAGTTCTTCTTCTTAAAGATTTCAGATTTACTGAATTAATTACAAAGAAAGAGCATAGTAACATTCTATACGCAGGAGTTGCTCAGGCCTTCTCAAAACTACGGCAGAAGTTTTGGATTTTGGAGGCAGTAACTTGGAGGTAGTAAGCAACAGGAAGCTGTCTAATATTTTGCAAATATGCAGCAAAACAACGAAATAAATGACATTATATTTACCTAAAAGCAGAGTTGAAGAAACACTATCTTTCTGTGATATGCATGTTACTGGCGTGGATTTCACAGCTCCTGTTTATGTCAAATCTGGAAATGCCATTTAGGAGACATACATCGTATTGTTCATGTGGGTTGTTACACGAAAGCTACATCTGGAATTTGTTTCCGATATGTCTGCAAATAAATTCAATTTGGCTCTCCGACGTGTTATCTCAAGAAGAGGGAACTATTGCATCTTTTATTCGGACAGCGCGAAAACATTTAAATATGCTGCTATAATTTACGCTATTTTACACCCTAATTAAAGAAGCAGACTTTTGAAATTTTCTAGCAACTGAAAGTGTAAACCTGGAAATTTATCGTGGAGCTTGGGCCATTGTGGGGAGAATTCTACAAGCGCCTTATGAAGAGAATTTAGGAACCGCTAAAAAGGATCTTAGGCAAAACTCAACGAATTTTGAGGAATTTATAAGAATTTTAGAAATTGGTTATATGCCTTCATCATCATTGGTAACCGTTCATAGAAATACTGTGAAAAGCACTATAAATCATGTATAAACGTATCAATGGCTTTGGCTAAGTCGAAGTTTTAACTGGATAATGCGCTACCTTAAATGACACCTACATTTCACCAGTTCTACGTTTTCCACCAGGTCACAAGGCTGCCTTGACTCATCTGCTATCCCTATATGTCACCTATTGTCTTTTATTCCAAACTGAATTCGAAACAGAAATATTTTTCTATTTCCATTCTCAGCTCAGCTTCCATTTCTCTTTCTTTCTTGTAAATGCAAATACGTGTAGACTTATGGTTTTTCTACTTCTGTCTCTATTACCCAACCAAGCAGTTGACTTTTATTGACTTGTTTCAAAATCCTCATACTTGGCCTTTCCTAAGAACCAAATTTTAACAGATTTTTCTCAATTGATAAACTTTACAAAATTATGTACGTTGGAAAAAGTGATTTTAAGTTTAATGATAAGGTTATAGACATCTGAACACGAAAAAGATGAAAAGTAAATAAAGCTTTTGTGTAAAGGCAAAATAAAAAATATATATGACATATTATTTATGGCTGAAATTTTTAGAGATAAAAATAGGCTACCTCCTTATTCACCTCTTGACAGCTTATAAATAAAGTTGAAAGCTTGCGCTATATTTAAATAAAATAAAAATTAAATCGAAATAGTCGCGCCCGATTATTTTAATACACGATAGTATTCTAAGAAGATAAACATATATTCAAAAAGTAGTAGGCTATTATTCAAACCCTGAAACTTGACTGAATTACAAGAACTTTTGAAATTTAACTGAGTTATGAATGAAATCTGAGAAAGGGAATATTTTCATATGAAGTTCATTTGGGAAAAAAATTAGTGAAATTTTCTATCCTAGGCTGAGTTGCAAGAAAATTTGCGAAGTTGAATTTGGGAATAGATTAAATCAGTACTACTTCTGAGAGCTTAGATTGTAAGCAGGACCTGACTGAACATAGTTTTGATGCTTTCCTAAATGTGTAATGTGAAGAAGAGTTAGATTCCCTGAAAAAGTCATCTATGGCTATGCCTAAGACCTCATATCCTTCGCTGTACTATATAACCAAATCTAATCTTACCTTTTCAAGATTAAAAATTTCCTAGTATTCGATAATATTTCAACTCCTCAACGAAAATCAATAGTCTTAAATCATTACTTGCAGAAAATTTTGAAAATTTAAGGTGGCTAACTGCTCAGATATTTAGACGTTTGCAACCGAATTCCCAACATGGAAAGTAAGGAAGAGA